AGTACCAGGAAAGATGACCGGACATTACACGCAAGTGGTGTGGGCTGATAGCAAATCTGTAGGATGTGACTTCATCTACTTCTACGATGTTGATCAACCGCAATATCCGTACGCTAAATTGTACACTTGCAACTATGGACCAGGGTAAATTATATCAATAGTTTTAAAGACAACATCATGATTAAACATCTTAATATTTTCAGTGGTAACGTCGGAGGACAAGTGCCGTATGAGACCGGGACTTCTGGATGCGAAGATCTTTGCTGATTTTACCATAATTCATTGTAAAACTATAATCATTTAAATCAATAAATTACAACAATTAATTTAAAACGCTCTAAACATAATTCAAACTTTCCTAACTGATAAAATTTGATTCCACGATTTTCATATAAACAAATAAAAAAAATATGTTGTTATTGTCCGCATTTGTACTACAACTAGATTACATAATGCATATTTGCAGCAAAACGTGTTTCAAATTATAGTGAATCATGTATGTAACGCGATTGTTGCATATTGCATTAACGTTTGAAGTCATTATTCATTTTGAAACAAAAACACGTAAACATTGTTTGCATCAATTTCAGTTTTAATAAACAAATAGTAGAGATATTGCAATTTGCATTTTCCAAATAATAACAAAATTAATAATTATTTATAAAATTACATAGAAGATTCAATTATATATTTAAAAACTTACATATAGATTAATATTTCATTTTATTATTTCATGATTTAATAAGAAATTTGACACATCGAAAAATGACGTATTTTAAATTAGCTTATATTTAGATTAAAAGCTGCTATCAGAACAAATATTTATACGAATTTTAATCTTGAATCTTCACAGAATAAAATGAACATAAAAGCATTTATTCAGGTGTTTCAGTTTATTTGTAAATTTATAACAAAATTTGGTGAATGACAATTGACAGGTCAAAAATTAACGATTTTTAAATTTGCGTATATTTTAATTAACAGCTGCTCCCAGAAGAAACATTTATACAAATTTTAATCTTGAATCTTCAAAGAATAAAATGAGCATAAAAATCATTTATTCAGATGTTTTAGTTTATTTGTAAATTTATAACAAAATTTGTTAAATGACAGTTGACAGGTCGAAAATTAACGCTATTGAAATTTGCTTATATTTTAATTAATAGATGCTTCCAGAAGAAACATTTATACGAATTTTAATCTTGAATCTTCAAAGAATAAAATGAACATAAAAGAATTCATTCAGTTGTTTCAGTTTCTTTGTAAATTAATAACAAAATTTGGTGAATGACAATTGACAGGTCAAAAATTAACGGTTTTGAAATTTGGTTATATCGTAATTAATAGCTGCTCCCAGACGAAATATGAATATGAATTTTAATCTTGAATCTTCAAAGAATAAAATGAGCATAAAAGCTTTTATTTAGGTGTTTTAGTTTATTTGTAAATTTATAACAAAATTTGGTGAATGACAGTTGACAGGTCGACAATTAACGATTTATATATTTGCGTATATTTTAATTAATAGCTGCTCCCAGAAGAAACATGTATACGAATTTTAATCTTGAATCTACAAAGAATAAAATAATCATAAAACCATTTATTCATATGCTTTAGTTTCTTTGCAATTTAATAAAAAAAAATAGTCAATTACAGTTGACAGGTCGAAAATTAATACTTTTGAAATTTGCTTATATTTTAATTAATAACCACTCCCAGAACAAAAATGAATTATAATCTTAATCTTGCATATTCAATTAATAAAATTATCATAAAACCATTAATCCAGGTACTTTAGTTTCTTTGCAAAATGAACGATATTAATATTTGCTTCTATTTTGATTAAATGAGCATAAAATAATCTCTTTAAGTAGATTAGTTTCTTCTATATTCAATAAAAAAATATACCAATAAATTGTTGATACAACGTTTTCAAAATTAGCCTAGCAACGGCAAAACAATAAATAATCTTAAGCGTTTTAAACAACTAGATTTAAGTAATTATTAACCATTGTTTCCATTGATAGAATTCATAATTGTAATAACAAAGTTTACCCATATTTCATCTGCAATCAAATTTATGTATTGTTCATATTCAATAGATTGTAAATCAAAACGACATAAAAACAATCAACAAATTGGCTATAAATGTGAGCAGGATAGAAGCTCTGATATCACAACCAGCACGATGTTCGGTCCGGTATTCATCGCAGCTCTTGTCGCTATTGCAGCTTCAGAAAACTGTCCATCTGGAGGAGAAATCTTCGGTATACCGAAAACATTTCAACCTTAAACCTAATAATAATTTTATTAAAAATATTTAATTTTTCCAGCCAGAGGAATCACCGAGGAAGGAAAAATACAAGTGATCAAAGCCCACAACGATTACAGGCTTGAAATCGCCAACGGAAGGTTGGCAAATCAACCAAGGGCTGTTAACATGAAGAAGATGGTAAGATTTTTTCTTATACAAGTTATAATAAACAATTGTTATTGCCGTTGCTTATCAACAGAAACAGAAACAGATTTCCACATAAATTACCAAATTATTATGAAATATTTATATTTTATGATACATTGACAAAATTTAATAATTAAAATAGGTTTATTAAAACGTTACTTGATTAAGTATTTGAATTAAGTAACCAAAACATCTCTTTGTTTTAAGTTTTAAAATGCACAATTTTTATAATAATTTTATTAAATTAAGTCTTCAAATTATTTATAGGTTTACGATCAAGGTATTGGAGAGAAGGGAAAAGTCGTGTCAGATTCTTGCACGATGCACCACATCATAGCTGAGGATGGTAAGTTTAATCCTCAATGCATTTAACATTATAAATCCACAATTGTTCTCTTGAAGATCGTTTCAATTGGATCGGACAAAACTTGTACATGATGAGGAGCTCCGAAAAGGACGACGAAGGGCAGGACTGGAATCGTGCAGTTGCTTCATGGTTTATTGAGAATAAGGACTTCACCTATCCTAACATTACAGCAGAAAACAAGGTGACCGGACATTACACGCAAGTGGCGTGGGCAGACAGCAAAAATGTTGGATGCGACTATATTTACTTCTACGATAACACCACTCCGATAACGCCTTATTCCAAATTGTACACTTGCAACTACGGACCAGGGTACGTTGCTTCAAGAGTTTTCAAATGCAATAACGCAATTAATCATCTTAATATTTTCAGTGGTAACTACATCGGCGTAGCACCCTATGAGACAGGAACTTCTGGATGCGAAAACCTTTGTTAATATTTTTCTAAATTCATATTGTTTATTGTAAAACTATAATTAAAAGATTAATTGCAACAATTCATTGATTATTATTCCCCACTCTGTTAATATAATTGAGAGAATTGAAATATTGGTAAATTAACACATAGTCACGTCAAAAAATAACGCCTATTAAATTAAATTATATTTTGATGAAAAGCTGCTCCCAGAAGAAAAAATGAATTTGAATCTTAATCTTGAATCTTCAAAGAACAAAATAAGCCTAAAATCATGCAACTGAGTGCTTTAATTAGTTCACAATTTAATTACAAAATTGGTGAATTATTAACAAAATTTGGTAAATGACAGCTGACAAGTCGAAAATTAACTCTTTCAAAATTATCTTATATTTTGAAGAGGAGCTACTCCCAGAAGAAAATTGAAACTGGATTTTAATCTTGAATATTGAAAGAGCAAAATAAGCATAAAAGCGTCTATCTAGATGTTTTAGTTGATTCGTAATTTAATTACAAAATTTGTGAATTAATAACAAAATTTGGTAAATGACAGCTGACAGCCCAAAAATTAACTTTTTTCAAAATTATCTTATATTTCGAAGAGGAGCTACTCCCAGAAGAAAATTGAAACTGGATTTTAATCTTGAATATTGAAAGAACAAAATAAGCATAAAAGCGTCTATATAGATGCTTCAGTTGCATCGTAATTTAATTACAAAAATTTATATATGACAATTGACAACGTTTTAAAAATTTGATTATATTTTGATCCCAGAAGAAATGTAAATTTGAATTTTAATCTTGAATTTTCAAAGAATAAAATGAGCTTAAATTCATTAATGCAGGTGATTTAGTTTCTTCACAAATTTATTAACAAATATCAATAATCAATGGCAGTTGACATGTCAGAAAATATGTTCTTCGAAATCAGTTTATATTATAACAACCAGTTGCTTCCAAAAGAATCTTGAATATGAAAATTAATCTTGAATCTTTAGAGAAAACATTTATCATAAATACATCTATGTGCGTCCTTAATTATTGCTTATAATTGTCTTATAACTTGATTACAAATATGAAGGTTAGATTATTTTTAACTCTCAAAACGCTCTTTATTATATAAATATTTGTATCAGATTTTGTAACACATTAGTAAATAAAGATAAATATATTATGAAAAGATGATAATATAAAATTGTAAATTTAAATAAATCAGCAATACTTCAGTATAGGCAACTAAATCAGCACTATTTAAATTTACAAACAAAATATAAGAGTTGAAATTAAATATGTTTTTAACACTGTTTACGTATAGTTTTATTAATATTTATTACTTATGTTTAAATATCCGATGGTTAAAACCCAAATATTTTTTAATGAAAGTAATTATGTCTTCATTGTTTGTTGTCTTTTCTTCTTTTAGCATCCCATTCATTCCAAACTGGTTGTTCTGGTAGCTCATACCATTGTAATTGAGGAAGTGCAGAGTCATATACAATTTGTTCCAGTTGCCTGTTCCATGGAATTTGCACAGGTATTCCGTTCCATATTGGGTGATCTTGCTGAACATTCCACGGTATTTGCTCTTGTAGTCCATTCCAAACAACCTGTTCTTGTCCAATCCAAGGCATCTGCCCTTGAAAACCGTCCCATGTTATTTGCTGTTGTCCAGTCCACGGTAATGCTAGTCCATTAGAAATTGTTTGTTCTTGTAAACCATTCCACGATGTTACAATATGATCGGGGAATTCGACCCATGGCCGTTGCACTTGAGGCCCAAAATTCCAAACTCTTTGTTCCGGTAATCCATTCCACATCATGCAAATTTTCGGTCTAATATTCAATAATTGCTGATCCTGGTATCTATTAAGTCCTTGTGACCCTATGTTATTTTGCTGACGATTCGATCTTCGTCCTTGGTTACGATGGGTCCTTCGTCCTTGCGTTCCATTTCGTGCCCTCTGCTGCTGCCTATTCCACCCATCGAAACCACGATTATCACTTTGATGCTGTTGCTTATTCAATCCTCTCATCCGTTGCAGCCTGCTCCAAATCCTCCTCTCCAATTCTCCATGCCATTCCCTCTGCTCTTGAAGCGTATTCCACAGAGTATCATCTTCAACGCCATTCCATTTTTGCTGCTGTATCTGATTCCACAAAATTTGTTCTTGTTGAGCGTTTAACACTCTTTGTTGCCGTAATAGATTCCACAGTCTCTGTTCCTCTTCTGCAAAATACGCTCTTTCCGATGGTCTATTGAAAGCGTTGCGTCTTGGTGGTCCATTCCACGCTCTTCGTCCACGAGATTCTTGTTCAGAAAATACATTCGGTTGTTGCGTTCCCCGTTCCATCGATCGATCTCTTCGTTCGTTTAATTCAAACCATTGCTCCGGTATCATTTGATAAATTACTTGATCTCGACTTCTGCTGCACACTGTACGCTCTGCTATAGAACTGTACTCTTCATGCCGAAATTTTTGGGAAAGTGTATTGAAAAAGTCGAAAATCTTTCTCCAAAACAGAAAATTAATGGTAATTTGGTTAGACATGTGAAGAAATGCACTGGATTTTAACTGTTAGACTGTATTTTTATAGTAATACACAGCAAATATGCAGTTGAACTACTAAATGCAAACGAATTGAAAGCTGAAGCGATCAAGTATTTCCCCCCTACTATGATGTGCAGATCAACAGATATTTAATATCTGACTCATTATTATACATATTATTATTGCATTGGAAATATCATATGATTACGCTACTCGATAACGAAGATATTTTGTAAACAAAGGAAATATTAAATGCAAGCAAACCGTGACTAAGTGTTCACCAAAACAATTGCAATTTATGATTAGTTCCTATTGTGTTTCTTCTTATCAAACAATTAACAATAAAAAAAGCAGCTTGACTAACAATATATAAACAATTGGACATTGGACATTGAACATTCATCATGTGGCCCTTATTGCTGTTGTTCGTAGCCCACGCAAGTGCAATGCTTAGTTGTCCTGATGGAGGAAAAATTATTGGTATGATTACCGTTGATCTGTAAAGAAATGTTGAACTATTGAGATATTTGCAGAGCATGGAATCAGTCACGTGGGTGTCAGGGAGGTCGTGAGGCTGCACAACAAGTTCAGGATGGAAGTTGCACATGGATCGGTGAAGAATCAACCCCGAGGAATCAACTTGAAGAGAATGGTGAATAAACGCTTTGTTGGTATTCAATAAACTTATATGATTAATTAATGAATTAAAGAAATACGACCATCAATTGGACGATCTGGTTAAGACCTCCCTGGAGAATTGTAAATTGCAGAGCAAAAAGATCCATGACGGTAATTCACTGAATCATTAGTCTTTCAATGGAATGCGTATTTGTTTGTGCAGAACGTTTCAGACACGTTGGACAAAACTTATTTATGGAGATGACCACCGATTTGGACAGCGCCTTCGAACAGAACTGGGAAAAGGTCATCACCTCTTGGTTCAACGATAATGAGAATTACCAGTACCCAAATCTGGATCCGGAGACAATGGCAGGTGGACATTACTCGCAAATCGTTTGGGCCGAAAGCGAAGCCCTCGCCTGTCATTTCATCGCCTTCGAGAACCTCTCCAACACCAGATACCCGTACGGAAAGATCTACACCTGCTACTATGGACCTGGGTAAATATAAACAAGTCAACCACATGCGTACTTACATTAAATCGCTATCTAAATTACAGTGGAAACATCATAGGAAAAGCGCCTTACAAGTCAGGAAGACGCGGATGCGAAAACTTGTGTTAAAAAAACGGATATCTTTATTAATAAAACAAAATCTTTACAATATAAATGCAAAAACAGTATTAATCTTCATCATCGCTGGCAATGACCCTGGCCTTCTTAACAATCGGTTTATCCTCCGTATCTGAAGCGGATCTGCTTCTCTTATTACTTTCTTCATCATCGCTATCCAATATTTGACTTCTTCCTCCAATCCTCTTGGACGAAACTGCAATATCCTCATCGCTATCGCTCTCCAGACCCTGCATCGTTTTGAACGGTCTCTCATTGTTGCTTTCACCTTCAACCTTGCTGGTGTCATCGTCACTGTCGTAATCCAAGATCCTCGACGGTTTAAAACTGAGCCTGTTGCTCTCGTCCGGTCCCACCATTTCAGTCTTATCGTCCGTTTCCTCGTCATCGCTAGAATCCATAGCTCTGATCCTTCTCTTTGGTTTGCTCGATGAAGGTTCTTCCTCGACGTCATCATCATCATTTTCAAAATCAATCAGCGACATGGCTTTATTCACGGCGCGCTTTTTGGATAGATCGGATAGTTTAGATTTGATCTTGTTGATTTTCACGCTTTTAACGACCTCCGCCATGGTTTCTTCGTGCGTCAACTCTCTCTTCTTTTCCAATTTGGGCGGAGTGCTAACGTTAACTGGTTCCTGTCTCAAACGCTTTAAACGGTCAAAAACGTCTTCATCGTCGGATGATGAATCGACAGGTCTTTCCTGCTGAGGTTCCTCTATTGGTTCTTCTTCCTCAATTTCCGGAACTGTGAGTGTTTTATCTAAGGCTTTCGCAATCAAATCGCAGTTTTCTTTCATCGTTTTCATTGATAACGAAGGGGGCATCCTCCAATATGTTTCCTAAAAAAGAATAAGAAAGTAATTACAATTATTAGTTAAGATTAATACAGTATCATTTTAAATAAGAATGTAGAAATGAATGGCATCTCTTGATTCTATCTATTACTAATACATTTTCCAAAAGAGAATTAGGTACAGATTTTTGAATGAATTTTACTATATTCCAGAGCTCTTTGGTTGAGTGAAAGCTTGGAAAGATAGATGTCGGTAGTCGTGGTGCATCCGAAGAGAATCAATACTGGTGCGTTATGCGCGCATAGAGGTCGCTACGGTGATGGCGCCGAACGTGGGGCGCCGGATTTAAGGTGTTAGTTATTAAGATTGATTGCCCATCCGGGTAGGTATAATGGGCAGATTATGGTCTCATCTCCTGCACGATTTCCTCGCAGATTATCACTTAGGGCTTTATTTACTGAGGTGCAAATGTATAAGTAATGAAATCCGTTTCATAAACCGAGATTTAGCGAATGCGGATTATCATCGACGTAGACAACAACGAACCTGCTCATCCGAAGGCTCGCTGATCCCCAATCCACGCAGCAGACCTTTGAATTCCTCGGAATCCATCGCGGCGACTTGCTGATCCATGATCGGCACCAGCGGCACCCCCTCGTCGGCATCATCATCCAAATCCTCGATGGCGTCCTCGAAACTTTCCTTCAGCCACCCCAGGGCATCTGCGTGCTCTGCAATTTCAAACGCACCCAGTTAGCAAACAAAAAATAGAACGTAATACTTTCCGGTTTATACGATTATACCTCCTGCTGCCATCAGACTTATGAGCGTCGCGGAAAGATCCCGGACGGAGGCACGCCGCGCGTGACCAGAACTTTCTTTCTTGTTGTTGTTCTTCTTCTTCTTGTTGGTTTTCTTCTTTGCGGACAACTTGAGACCGTCGGGATTAGAACGGTTTCGTTGCTCCGAAGACATCTCCGACTCCGAATCGCTGCTGCCATCCTCATCTGAAACATTTAATGAAAAATCACACAAACGAACAAAGTTTTCGTTTTAATTACATCATCGTAACAATCACTATTATTGCCTTATCCAGAAGATCTTATACAATCCACAATTTAGTTAAATCTATGAATATTCCACAAATTTGCCTTCACGTGAACCCAAACAACCATAATTGTATTACCTACACCAAGACTGATTTGAGAATGTAGATTTTGGTATACTAGCCTTGATTATTATGGGTTTACATTAGTGTTGTGTCATGGGAAATTATTGTCTTATCTAGTATATCTTATGTAAACTAAATATTTGGACAAAATCTTTGATATTAAAATATCATACATGAATTATCATAAGGATTTAGTTAATTCCTTACAGTAAATCTTTGATATAAATCAAGATCAATCAAGACGTTAAATGAAGATATGCAGTGGAGGAAATCAATGAAGAAGAAAGGTTCAGGCAACAGATGTTCCAAACTTAATATAGATGTCCACAGGTAAGTAAGTAAAATGTTCCAACCATTAAAGTTCCTTTTAAAATTATTGATTAATCATTAATTAGTTCTTTTTCTCTAGTTTGTTACAGAAATCTGTTATATTTAACATGTTTGCTATTACTAAAGTATACATGAAATAGCTGCATTTAAATAGAAAGTTCAGCTCGTTTCCGGCTATTCCAATCTGTGCAGAATCCGTATACAAATGCTACCTCTACTACTCATATCATCATCATTTATTCATCTCCCTTTCACAGTGTGTCCTTTCATATATATATACATTGGAATACGTACACGCATCGTGTGTATATATATTTTTTTGTTTGTTTTGTTTTCGTGCGTCCCCTGCCGTTTGTTTGTGAAGGCTTACACAGGCTTTTGCACCCCTAATTCTCGTACAATGCAGACAGAGGAGACCGGGGGCGGCTTTACGCCTCCACCCTTATTATATACTATATACCTTTTTTGCTTTGTGGTAAAACTGATGCTAAGCACAAAAGTGAAATCGCGCACGAGATAAATGGACGCGGATGGGATATCTTTGTGCGTTTACAGACAGATTAATGACCGAGGGCGGTTCGCGCTTTGCCGCAAATAAAAGAGAAATAATGGAGAAAACTAAAAAAAAACACACAAAACAAAACTATTGCAGAGCAGAATAGGAAGGAAGATAGGACGACCGGCAGTGATGTATTCCATCTATAAAAGATATTACAGGGCAGGTGGTGCGCAGATAAATATTTAATAAACTAATACAGTAAAGTAGTTTTACGAGGTTTCCTTCTTCCGTCGTCGAGGGAGGATGGTAACGGAGCGGCGGCTTTGTTCGAGGTGGGCGAAAGCGATAAAATTTTTTGGTTTGTGTGTGTGTTTAAAGCGGATATAAATTACAGGAAAACAGGGATGGTTGGGATACTTTATCGCCAATGAGGAAAACAGAGAGAGAGCAGAAGGGAATGAGCCGAGCTTTATAGAAACTTTTATGTTTGTCGGGGAGAGGGAATTTATTATGTTAAAATTGCCCCGGGAAACGAAAGGGATGGAAAAGAAACGCGACGTAAATTGATTGCTCATTTATACTGTATCGAATTGTAATTTGCATTTGGCTCCAGTTTTCCCTCGTTGCAGGCGAGGAACCGAAAAATCAATGACCATTGTTTCATCCTGCTTGCACACGTACTGCACACTCTTTTTGTTACTTCTTTTTACCTCACCCTCTTTCATCTATAAATATTGAATTTTCATTAAGGAACGTACTGTTTTGGAACAAAATGCAATTCATGTTTACCGAACGAAGGTAAACTGCAGAAAAAAAAAACTAAAATCTGCTGTGTTCAATATAATATAAAAAAATTAATAAACTTCTGGAATTAATCAATAAAGCAAAGTAACACATTTAACTAGATTATTTATATAAGTTTGTACACATTATTTTTTAACTTTCTTACTTTTATTTATTCAAAAAGATGCACAAAATGTAAGTGGAAATATTGAATGAAAAAATATTTATTAAAGTAAATAATGTAGTTCGTTAATGCAAGAATAAACATT